AGACGTAAAGACATTGTCTGGAATCTAGTAAGCAGTTTCAAATTATATGAAACAGAAAAAAGTTTGCGTTGTACTAATGAGAAAGAACACAGTGAGTGTTAAACAACGAGAGCAAGATTTATTTATTTCATTGTATTTAGAAAACAAACAGTATATAAATACACAGATGGCATAGATACAAACTCCAATTGAGAAACGTGTTTGTAAATGGTTGTACAGTCAGCAGCGAAACTCCATGAACTCGAAGAGAATAATTCGAAGAAATATACACCAATTTCTCTGCCAATACTTTACTCAATTACAAAAACGTTCATCCCGAAATAATTAACGACACAACTGACAATAGTGGTTTTAATACATAGCAGTAGGTACTCTTTTTACGCTGTCGATTTTTTTCGAAATAAATCACAAACCAAGTTACAATCCGATACAATATTTATATTGAATTTCTCTCTACTGAGAGTAAAGTTGAATATAGGAATTGATATCGCCTGGTCGAAAGACGACTGGTGGACCGACGATCTGGTGAAGATCAGAGGGAGGTGCCTGGATGCGGGCAGCGTAGGACCGGTCTTTGTGGAAATCCTTTGTCCGACAGTGCACGGTCATTCGGCTGAAACAGACGAAAGACTACTGTGCGACACCTTTGGGCGAAAAGACAATTGATCAATAAAATTTTGTATAGGTACGTTTGTGCTCAACTTATGTTACAGACAAAACTCATAATCAGTCCTAAGTGGTTTCACCTGATTTAAAATTTTACCAATCAGTCAAAATTCATACCAAGTGTTAAATAAAACATCGAAGCGTAAAATGACACCATGTCCTTTGCTAACGAAAACAACACAGCTCAAAACATCGAATTTTACTTCACCTATGAAAGAGCCAATTTCGTTTTGCTAATTAAATCAGATCAATAACTGATCTGTAAATCATTTAATTTACACATTATCAGATATGTCAAAGTTCTCAATTGATTTTAAACTTTATACTTAAGACAAAGTTGAATATCTATTGGGAAGTCGTAATTTTGTAGTAGGTTGACATGAAACACCTAAACAACAAGTAAGTATTGAAAAAAAAAAACAATAAAATCTGAATAAGTACACTCTCAACACTCCACTCCACTTTTTTTTTACTGTTTTAGTTAGCGGAATGGTTAATTATATCGGGATTTCCACCATGTAACGAACAACAACGAGAGGTAACGAGAACAAGACAAATAATAACCTTCTTTTGCTAAACATTATTAATTTGATTGAACCACGTCCAAGTCTAGCTAAGTGTATTAGTTTTTTGCCCATCAGATTATTTTGATTTTATAATATTTGTGACAGAATCAGAATCATTTGCTTTAATAAATATGGAACAAAAGATGGACACGGCTAACATGCTTGTTTGATTCTTGTCCCCTAAACAATGAGATCTCACAATTATAGTCCATTCAGACATACAAATATGGATGATTCATACCTTTAATTGATTTATTCGTGCAAAAAGACGAAGCAAAACTGAATATTCCAATGTTATTGTTATTAAGTAGTTATTGTTATTGCATGAATACTCTGACTATTACGACCAAAGAAGTAGGTAAAGACATTGTCTAGTTTCTAGTAAGCAGTTTCAAATTATATGAAACAGAAAAAAGTTAGCGTTGTACCAATGAGGAAGAACACAGTGAGTGATATGATTTTAGATTTTGTATTCAGATAACAAACGGTTTACAAATACACAAATTGCATAGATACAAACTCAAATTGAGAAATGTGTTTGCAAATGGTTTTAACAAATGGTTTTAACAGTGTCAATCGACAATATTACCACAGAATAATAATAAGTACTACGTACAGAAGTTTTACTTCGCGAAGGTATTTAAAAAAAATTATGCTCAATGTCATTAACAATATGGTGTAATTTAGCCTGTCTCAAGAGTCAAGCACCATTTTGTTGACAAACGTCAATGATCGGCACTGCACCGAAGCTATAGGACTGACTTCGGTAAAATGATGTGACGTGAGGTGCCAAACTGCGGAAAATGGCGGAGGAAATACATGATTTAGCATGAATTATCATGAATAATATTAACTACTTATTTACCTCTCAGTGTATTGAGGCAACTTAAAAAAGTACATTCTGTGTTTATATTATAATTTAGGCAGTTAAATACTGCACAGTATTTAGTACACCGTTTTCTTTATTTTCTTCCATCATACACAAGAATACGCGTGCGTGAGTCAATGTTCGCTCGTATGTGAGGCCTTGTCGAATAGTATCCTGTAGGTGGGCCATCGTACGTGTTTTGTTTTCGATGTAAACTCGCGGAGATGAACAGGCCTGATATTACTTCTAAGAAATCTCTGCCAATACAATACTCAATTACAAAAACATTCATCCCGATATAATTAACGAAACAACTGACCATGGTATAAATGAACAAATAAAAAAATACATAGCAGTAGGTACTCTTTTACGCTGTCAATTTTTTTTAAATAATTTACTAACCAAGTTAAAATCCGAGATTATATTTATATTGAATTTCTCTCTAATGAGATAAATTCAATAGATACTAAATTTTTTCGGCTCTTCCTGTGCATTTCATTTTTAAAACATTGAAAACTTTTTTGTATGTTTGACTGGAACTAAAACAATGAAGACGAATTACGGACTATATCGACTGGTCGAAATACTACTCGTGGACCGACGATCAGGCGAAGGTCGCGAGAGGTGCCTGGCTGCGGGCGGCGCAGGACCGGTCTTTGTGGAATCCTTTGTCCAGCAGTAGACGTCATTCGGCTCAAACGAACAAAAGACTATTGTGCGACACCTTTGGGCGAAAACAGAAACGCGATAGATCAATGAAATCTTACAATTTTGCGTAGGTACGTTTATGCTCAATTATTTTTTTTTTCCAATAACCTAGCTTATCAAAAAAAGGCAGACGATGTGACGATGCTAATAATCCCCTCATAAACAACGACAACGAGATATTTTTAAGAAACATAAATAAAACCAAACATTTTTTCTCTATAATAACACTACAGTTCAAATAAAGTAAGCAGATATTTAGCTTATATTTAACTTACTTGGAGGAGTACTTTATTTACTGAAGACAGAGTTTTATTTACTCTCAGACTGAATGAATGTTGACTTTTTAACTAACGCACTGTTAGAACTTTAACTACGAGTATATTAGAGTGGATAATATGTACTTTGTTTACGACAAATGACTAGTTATATAACCTCTTCCTTTTTTGTAGTCGGTTAATGAATAGTTTAACTTAAAAAAGAAATAAATCATTTTGGAAGAACAAAATATAAATAGCCCATCAAGCAATAAAAGCAGACGATGCAATAATGAAATAAGAAACGAAAACAATAAAATTGCTAAACAAAAGACAAAGTACCTAATATAACCTACATTTAAAAACTATGACTGTAGACTTCATATACATATAAAAAATATGTTAACCCACAAGTGACAATACAATGTTGATAGTAAAAGAACTAGAACAAATGTAAAGAAACCTACCTTACAAAAAGGAAGAAGGAAGGAAGACGATGCAACTATGCGAGTAATATCAACATTCTGTTAAGTAACAAAAGCAACAACAAATATTAGATGTGCACAAACGTACCTATAGTGTGATTTATCGTGCTTTCCCAAAGGAAATCGTCCAATAATCACGTGTATTTAATGTCATATTTTCATTATTAAAATCAAACAAAAAATGCAAACATCCATATCTATTGTATACCAAGGACTGTAACAAGTGTTTCTGAATTGAATATAATCCTACCAAAAACATAAATTTAAAAAAGGTAAGCCAAGTTCAATACTAAAATTATGGATGGCAGTGGGCTTCCCCGCAAAAAGAATGGAGATCTAAATGATTGCCAAGTTTATTGGAGGTTAGTTACTTTTTTATTTTTAGATTTTTTCCTATTCTTACACACAATTACCGAGCTGAATTAGGTACTATAAATCAGTCAACAATACCAAAATTCACTATTTGACCTTCATATCTTTATTACCTTTTGAGCTTCATGAAATTTGGGCTTCTAGGTGTCCTTATGGATATAATTAAATACACGTAATTTCATGTGTTTACGTTAAAGAAGTTTTGAGTTAGAGAAGGGTCAAGAGTGGCACCAAATGGTTCGTGTAATATTACACTTGGCGTTGGCTAGCCAGTTCCTTTGCTTGAACTTGGCTTGACACGCTGCCGCGTGTCTACATATATTATGCATTCACTGGCAGATGTGTTACATTGCGTACATTCAGCCTCATGCTAATTCTCTGAATATTAGCATAGGACTGTTTTTTTTTGTTATCCTGTCCCATGTCTATCAGAAAATATACCATATTTTAATCAGGGATGTTATGGATATCCGTTACCGTAACCGAAACTATTGAATATCCGAAAAAAAAACATCCGTAACCGTACCCGAAACCGATTCAAAAGTTTCGGATAAAGGCTTCTAAATCTTAATATTTGTTACTTGTCTGGCATTCCCTGGCTCCATCTAATATCCCCGCCTGTACCTTTATCATAGGTGTCGTCATAGTACATAAAGTGGCTATGTGAGTCGCGCAGCATCTTGCTATTTGAAGTTTACCTTTTTAAAGTTCTAGTATCCGTAACCGAAATTATCCGAAACTTTCGGATAATCCGAAATGATTTCATATCCGTAACCGTAACCGAAACAGGTATAATATTATTGAAATATTCGTAACCCTACTCATAACCGAAACTTCATATCCATGACAACCCTGAATTTAATATTTTAATATATTAATAAATATCTTTGGACAATTTCACACACCCTAAAGTAAGCAATTAATATGATTGTGTAATGGGTGCTAGCTTACGGATATACTACTTTGCTTAAAATACATACCTACATACATATCATACATAGTAAGTAACACCCAGACCCGTCACAGAAATTAAAATTCGTCATATCAATTTCTACCCAGCCGGGAATTGAACCCGGGACCTCTCGGCATAGTAGTCCGTTCTGAACCACTACACCAAACGGCCGACATCATAACCATACTTTCGATCAGAACTTAAGACATTTATCGCTTAAACTTGAGTAAATAAAAACTTACCTTTACGGGAGTTGTTTTGAAGAATCCTCTGAATTTCACTAGCTTCGGAGCCGCTCTCTGATTCGGAATAAATAATTTGGCCACCAAATTGAGAGTTGTTTTTCTTGTTATTATTTATTACTTTATTATTTTTTCCGACACTGTTAACACTTGTCGTACGAACAGGCGGCTTTGGGGGAATACTTGAAGATCCCCTGCTTCCGCTTCTGATTTTCAAAGCATTTGGCGAATACTCGACCTGAGAATTAATTGTTTTCACACACTCATTCGCCTCTTTAGAATCCGTGCTGAGCTTTTTGATCGCATCGTTCACTTGTACAGTAGCATTATTTAAGTACTGCTCTTCAAAACTGACTCGTTTGGTTTGCTGATTAATATCTCTCGTTTCTTGCGATAAGGTACCTCGATTTAAAATTACCACAGGCTTTTTATCTTCTACTATTGATAAAACGCTGTCCTTTATAAATAACTTTTCAGGATGTCTATAAATTATATCTTGCTCTCCATAAAATTCACTTCGGCCCTTTATAAATGAATCAGTTCGTCTTTCTGGAGCATTTCTTACGAATGGAGATTTCGAATATATTGTTTGATTTGTTATATAATTCGTTAACTCTTTGCCTCTTGGTAAACTGTAACTTCTGGGCTCTATGATAAAAGAGTTTGGAGAACTGCAACTAGAGTTAGAATATGTCATGTTGTATGTAGTATTATTATGACCATGCATGGGAGATCTCATAGACTGCCTTAATAAAAACTCGTCTTCCTTCAGCTTCTGTTCTTTTAATTTTTGCCAATAAAATGCCTCTACTTTCTGACGAGTTTTTTCCTTTTCCACTGCAACATTGTCAACTTTAACATTATCTTTATGCGGTTGTACAGATCTGACTTCATTTTGATCTAGTTGTCTGGGTGAAGGCGAAGACTTATTTCGTTGACTAGATCGACTAAGTGAATTTCGCTTTTCTTCCGCTTCCATCATTGTCTTTCTAACATGTTCATAAGGTGACACCATCTTAGGCATATTTGGGATCTTATGAATAATTGGCATTGGTGAAGTGGGTGCTGAATAATTGTATGGCTTTATAATAATTTCGTTAAAAATGTCTTTATCAGTATTTCTGTTACGCAATCTGTCATTATTCTTATCCAGTGATAAGCTGCGAGCCCTATTTGGTTGAATAGTGCGTACTTCCGCTTCTTTCTTGGGTGAAATAAGAAATCTAGTACTGACTTTTTTTATTTCTGCGCCTACTGCAGCAGGATCGGCATGAACTTTTGAAGCTCTATAAATATCAATTTCATCAAGAGGTGTTATTTTACCTGTCAATTTTTCTAGAGAATGATAATATACATCTGGATATTGTGGAGTTTTGAAACTATCTACTATCGAGTTATCGCTCATTTTACTGTGGATTATTTCACTCTGAGGTTTCCGGGGGACTTGCGGCTTGGCATTATAATATCTACAATCAATCTCTCTGTAGTTAACTATTTCATTTACATCATTTTCAACAATTAATTTATTTTTAACACTTTCTGAGACCAGAGTGCTGCTTGATGAATGATTACTAGGTATGTCTTGGCTGTAGTTATCGTTTTCACTAAATATACGATGCGATGCTGTAAGGTTTTCATAAATATTTTCATCACTTGTTTCATTTACTTGAGTTGCTTTTGCTGTAACCGTTTGAGGGTTTTGATATTGGTTACTTATCAGAGAATGCTCAGGATTACTCTTCTGATTTTTGAGATCTTTACCAACTGTAGTCTTTTCTTTACTTCTTTGGGAAAAAAATAATTGTGGAAATAGTTTTCGAAAGCTATTTGTTCGCTTTTTGCTAGTGTCAGACATTTTATGTGCGATCAGCAACGTATCATCTGCAACAAAAACAACTTTAAATACCTAATTATATTAATAAATAATTTTGCTTACGATAGGCAAAAACTCTCATAATGATTGTAAAAACTAAAAACCCAACTGCGTAAAAATGATCAGAAAAGATAGAAATAAGACAACTTAGGCTTCCACTTTGACAAAGGTCATAAATCTGTCAAACTCCATATAAAAAGCACCGGTTATTGTTATCACGTTGTTATTGTTACGGTTAAAATAAAGTTGTACAACTCTGCCGAAGTGTTCTCAAATACAGTTGGAGGCATCAATGACTACTTCTTCTATTGGTGATATGTATTTGATGCCTCACTAAGTTGTCTTGTTTCTATCTTTTCTGATGTTTACGCAGTCGGGTTTTTTTTACAATATTTTTTTTTTAGTTGAATAACATAAATTGCAAGCTATTTATGAAATCTTTTAATTTGATATGTCACTCTATAGGTTATGACAAAAAAAGTTTTTGAAGACATTATGGCGCCTAAACTCGGCCATTTTATTTATTTTTCAAAGGACAATGACCAAAAATGTATGGAGTGTGGTCCAAATGTCCACCACTAACGAGACCTATGGAGTAAAATAGTCTACTAAATACTGATTCATTATAACCAAACCGCAATCAAAAATAAGCTGTCAGTAAAAAGTTATGACTGAATGAAAAGTCATGTTTTTCACCTTTTCATCCGAAAAATGTTCTTGATATCATTATATCCATCGCACATTTTGGACAAATCTATGCATGTTATGTCATGTCGCTTCGTGTGCCGTGTTAGGTTCTCGCTAAAAGAAAAAAAAAGCTCAGAAGAAAGGCAACAATATTGGAATACTTGGAATAATGCGAAAGGATTAAAAATAGTCTTATTTCCAACTGGTGCGGGGTTATTAGATGAATTATATTATATGTATATTATACTAGCTGTGCCTACGACTTTGTACGCGTAAAAATAATATTTCCCATTTTTACAACATTTGTCTTTACTGCTCCGCCCCTATTGGTTGTAGGGTGATGTTATATAACCTAAAACTATCCTTTATAAATGGGCTATCCATAACAAAAAGATTTTTTGAAATCGGGCCTATAGTTCCTGAGATTAGCGCGTAAACTACTACAATTTTCCATCCAGCCATAACTTTTTACTGACAGCTTATTTTTTTTTCGTCCCATACTGAAAGTTAATCTCTATTTAATGGACTATAATCCAATATAGGTCTCATTAGTGGTGGACATTTGGACCACTTTTGGTCATTGTCCTTTGATATACCCAATTACCCAGTGCCATTCTCGCGGTTGAGACGAATCTAACGACACTTCTCACACTGATATTGATCAATCCGTTTAGGCCTACGGATTAGGCTGTAGAGCGCGCGTATCAAAGAAATATAAGAACAATGTAAAGTTAAATTGGAATCATGGGATCCCGCTGCAATGGAATATTTAGCGCTATTTTTTTTTGCATTTAAAAACTTTGTAGATTTTATTCGTAAAAGCAAGTGATTTTCCTGGAATTCCTTACTAGTCAGGTCAAGTAATAAATATTCAACGAGTCGGGTTTTCTCCGCTTCGATCGATACCAGTTGAATATTGAAGATATTCATTTAAATATTTACTCAACATCTCCGAGACCTGTTCATATTATGAAATGAAAGTTGTGTGAAATGACACACCAGACCATATTGGCTTCGCCATAACCACGTAAATGAATGAAAAGATTCNATTATCTATATACAGGGTGTTACTTTGCATTCTTGCCATATTTACAGAGGTTACTATATTACTGATACTGAACACAAATCCGTAAAAAAATAATGCCCGAAAAAATTTTTTTTTAATCTTGAATATTTTATTTTATCGACAATCTGTTAAACACACCACTAATTATCGTAACACATGCACATCACTTGTTGGCGATGGCGATGGAGACTTTTTTACTTTTTATTGTATTTTTAAATATATCTACAGGGTGTTGATTTCAATCCTCGCCATATTTATTTAGGTGATCTATTATGACTTATATAAACTCATTATCCACCAAAAAAAAAATTACAAACGAAAGTGGAATTTTTAGCGAATATTTTCCGTGCTAAATCATCTGTACTGTGGCTCACAATACTGCGATAGTTTACACTGCGGCACTCATCCAGCTACGCGGATCGCTCGCTTATCATGTTGGATAACCTCCTGAACGAAGCCACTTAAAGTAGGTAGTGTAAAAGGTATTTTTCTTTGACTACCTAAAGTTATAGTTCGTTTTAAATTTTTTTCAAACTCATTTTTTTTACTGATTCGTGATCAGAATAAGCTACTTAATCAACTCCCTGAATATGGCGAGGATTGAAATCAACACCCTGTATAGTTCCAAAATACTGGACTGTCCTGTCGATGACATTGACAGTGGGGCGCCACCGTCAATACCGGATCGCTGGTTCAGATTTTTGCCATGTTGGAAACCATATAGTTGAACGATGGTAGCGCCCCCCTGTCATTGAGTTTGGTGGGACAGTTCAGCGTGGGTCATCTATATTGCAATCTATTGTCTTTAAAATGTCTTTTTGACACTTGTAAAAAACTGAGAAATCCATCAAACACAAATTACGTTATAGTTCCAAAATACTGGACTGTCCTGTCGATGACATTGACAGTGGGGCGCCACCGTCAATACCGGATCGCTGGTTCAGATTTTTGCCATGTTGGAAACCATATAGTTGAACGATGGTAGCGCCCCCCTGTCATTGAGTTTGGCGGGACAGTTCAGCGTGGGTCATCTATATAAACATGTTATAAATAATACAAAAATGACTGAAGTGTATTCAAACAACGAATAATTTAATCAAGATGGTGCTTGGAGTGTCTGCAAGACGTCTTAGACGAAATGCTTGATGACGTACCCTTAGCGTTACACCAAATCCTCTACTACCAGCAGGATGGTGCTCCCCCACAATAAGGACGTCAAGTGCGCGAATAATACGTTTGGTGATCAGTGGATTGGACGAGGGGTCCAGTAGCTTGGCCACCACGATCCTCGGACCTGACACCAATGGATTTTTGGAGTGACTTGAAACGACTGGTATGCGCAGAAGAGATAAACAGTGTAAACGCGTTACATGAAAGGATTGTTTTAGTGAAACTGTGATACAAAACGTTTATGTGTTGCGAAAACTAAAGCGAAAAACCTACGCTTCGCCGTGCTAGACTGTGCCTTCATCAGAACGGAGGACACTGAACACTTGCTTCGCAGTACGTAAACTTTGTAAGTAGGAACTTATGAATAAATAATTAATTGTGAATAAGGTGATTTCATTTCATATTTAATTTATTAATTTGTAAAAATAGGGTACAATGTTGTAAATTAATTGAAACCCTATTAATTATTACGTATTTTTGACGGTCTTAGGCCCGTATCTAAAGTAGAAAGAAAAATCTGAAATGAACTGAAGAGTATTTTAAAATAGTTATTATGACTGGATAAAAAGGCTGGTACCCAAAGCCATAAAATTAAGAACTAGGCCACGCCCACTAGGTTTATTCCACTTGCACCTGTAGAACGTGCGAGACAAAATTGGTTTATTCCAATTTGTACTGAAAAACCAAATTTACTAAAATCTTAGTGTACTTTCTTTATGGGAGTCTCTTGTTCATCTTAAATAATAGGTATTGTTACCTACTTTTATCTCTGTGAATATGGCAAGAATGCAAAGTAACACGGTGTATATAAAAGAAAGTCATGTTAGTTACTCCACTTATAACTCAAGAACGGCTGAACCGATTTAGCTGAAAATTGTCAGGGAGGTAGTTTAGAGCCAGGAGAAGGACATAGGATACTTTTTATCCCGTTCGAAATAAAAAAAAGTCTGCTTATTTATTGCCATTAAGGCGGAACAAAGTTCGCGGGGTCAGCTAGTTGAGAATAAATTGAAAGTAATATTTAATAGGTAGTATAGGTAGCTTTCCCCCCCGCGGCTTCGCCCGCGTGGAATTTTTTCTGTCACAGAAAAACTTTATCGCGGCGTTCCTGTTTCAAAAACCGGTATAAAATCTATCCTATGTCCTTTCTCGGGATTCAAACTATCTTTATTCCAAATTTCATCCAAAACGGTTTAGTGGTTTAGGTGTGAAAGCAAGATAGACAGACAGAGTTACTTTCGCATTTAAATATTAGTATAGAAGTATAGATTTCTTTTTGTAATACGATATTATTATCATTGATAATAGTTACAGATAAAAGTGTAAAAATTTATCTTCTTCTGGGTGTGGTAGATAAAACAATGACAACAGCTTAATAATAACATACAAACGAAGGTCACGTCAAAAAAGATGCAACTTACTGATCCATGTATAAAAACGAGCTCTTTCGTTCGTACGATAATAAAGATTGGTAATTTAGTCACACTTCACCAAATCATTACAATAAACGTCAATTTATTATTCAAGAGCTCTTTGATTAGGTACCCAAAAATAAATATATTTTTATTAGGTAGTAGTTTTTAGTCGAACACGTGCGCCCTTCCAAAACCATTTAGTACAGAAATAATACTTATACAGTGCAGCAGCCTGTCTGGCGCAACGTAATTGCTTTTAGCGGCTACGCTATATTTTGTCTGGGATTTTCTGATAGTAACGAACGATTCTATCAGGGATGCTCGTCTTTGAAGACTCCGAATAAATGAAATTAAAACCGCGGATGAAATTAAAAACGAAGGATGCCTAGTCCGATTAATCAAAAAATAATGCTTGGAACACAATTTGTAACTTCGTAAGTTTGTTTTCTCTCGTAGCGCTTGAGCCACGGGAGAGGGGGTTTGATATTTTCAAATCATGAGGAAATCGATTATATCAACGCTTTTTAAACAATTCAACACTTCGGCCAAAGGTGTATAATTATGTCGGTCGAACAGTTAGATATCGTATTTGACAAAAGGCTCCTCTCCATAAAGTGATTTGGCAAAGAGGTGCCAAGATAACCACTATCACAAAGAACTACCTACCACGGAAGGAAATGTATCTACGTTAGTCTTTGACGGCTATTTCTTTTCTTATCAACCTCTAACTGTACGAAAGTAACAGAGCATCAAAGGCGCTATCGACTCAGCAAGTCTGTTGATATCCATATTATCCATATCATCGAAGACACAGAGATGAACGTCAAATAAGAAGATTTTGTCGAATAAGTCCTGCAAAAGCAGGCAGGTGAGAAGGACAATGGGATCAGAACCCTTCAAGATGAAAGTGATGCGGACATTCTGATCGTAGATACGGCTGATCAATGTACAACGTGCACATTCACAGACGTGGCAATCAGCGGGGCTATGGTATACGGTGAAATCATAAATCCTGACTACTTAAGTCATTTGAGAGGACAACGCAATAGTGCTTGCTAAATTCATTTGGGATTAGTCGAGTAAGTAGGAGAATACGTAAGCGCGTGAAGCGATTGTGGTTTGAAGAATAACGGTTCTTCGGAATATCAATTTGTTATTCTTTACGAAAAATTCTGACACGGAATTTTTCATTTTGTACGACCTGAATGTGGTTCAAATTGAAAAACGTTCATGGAGAGGTAGGAAAATAATAAATATTACCTACATACAGGAGTTTACGAGGAATTGGTTGAAATCGAATATCGACCTGTCGGTATGAAGGTCTGGTAAGCCATAAAATGTCAGTGAAATATTGAATGCAGCTAAAATTGTGAGGAGTGGTAACTTATTTTTTTTAATTACTTACTAGATCTCATTCATATCAATTTTCGTTGGAAGTTTGCATGGTAAATTGGTAAATAGTAATGTACCTCCATCATATATTTTTTTTAGTTTTATCAATCTCTTAACTGCTCTTAACTTAAAAGTTACGACGACGACGACGACGACGACGACGACACATTTTACCACTTTGGAAGCGTTTCTCGCGCAAACTATTAAGTTTAGAAAGAATTATATTAGAAACCTCAATATCATTTTTGAAGACTTTTTTTCTATTTTTGAGTGAAAATCGTAATGCGGTTCACAGAATACATCTACATACCAAGTTTCAACAGTAATAGCTCTTAAAGTTTCGGAAAAAAGTGGCTGTGACATACGGACGCACAGACAGACATGACGAATCTAAGGCTAAGAACTCACGGCGCGATTTTCACCCGCGACCTCAGCGGTTGCCGGCCCGCTGCTTCTGTAGAATGCAGATACTTATGTAATTTAAAAACTAATGCAAAACTCAAGGCGCGGTTTGCTGCGCCCGCAGTGTGCGCGGTTGTATGCGGGTCCCGCTGCATCGGCAGGCAACTATGTATTGGAATCGCGCGGGCCGCGAACAGCAGCCTCTGCGGTTTTCGATTGGTGAGCGACCATTTTGTACCAGTGACTGCCCGTCTTGCCCGCCACCTTTGCGGACGATGATCGACGGCTGCGTAACCGCTGACTGAAATAACCGGTGGTCCCGTGAATTTTGAAATAAACCCGCAATTCCACAACCGCCGTGGGCGCGGGTGAAAATCGCGCCGTGAGTTTTTAGCCTATAGGCTTCCGTTTTTTACCATTTGGCTACGGAACCCTAAAAAGGGAATGATGAAGCGTATTAAAAAGCGCTTTGTTTGTAGGTAGGTATTATTATTATTTAATTACGATTCGCAATTTTCGCGCGTTCCAATACATAGGGACATCAGTAATTACGACAGTAAACCAGACAAAAATGTACCTACTTCATTAGATAAAAGTTATGCAGAATACGTTTTCACTAGATTCTTGGGTATTTTCGTAATACATTAGGTAGGTACGTACATTATATACCTGCCTACCTACTTAGTTGGTAAATCTAAGATAGTACCTACCTACCTACCAGATCGTATCCACAAACACTACCGATATACCTAGGTACCTAAGTACTAAACATAATTACTATTAATTTTATCTAATTAATGTAAAACAGCGTTCGTTGTAATAATAATTAAGACTCACCATCAACTGAGTAGGTATGAGTCATGGCAGAAAATAAACCAACACCACTCGAATTTGCTGCATTTACGAGTAATATTATGTCATCTGTTCAAAACTTAACCTCGATAAGTTTGACAGTTTCACTATGTAACTTATCTTCTCTTAACCGGGTAACAACCTGGGATTCGCTTTATCACTATTTACAACAAATTTAGATGACATTAGGTATCATAATTATCAACAAATATGTACAATACGGTTCAGAGTGGACCACTTCACAAGTTATTACTCACACGCACGCAAACATCTAAAAAGTTTGTTGTTTTCCAGCAGGGTAGGGTTTTCATGAAATATTTCGCGTTAATTACTGACAGTGAGCTAGTCTTAAAATTTCTTTGAACTGATCATGTCAAACTAAAATGTTTAGCTTAACTTGCGAGGAATGTTAATACTTTGATGCAAAGAAGGCTAACAAACATTTTACAAAAGTTTAGTTGAAGGCCATGCAACCTCGTAATATAAGTTTACTTATTAATCACACTGAATTAGCCTCTATTGTACAGCAGATAAGACTCAATTCTTTTGTACTGTTTGTAAATAATCTAAACATGTCAAAAGACGTTCCTTTTACCAAACAAAATTGTATTTTACCTTGTGTTGATTCCTTTATGGATTGTTTTTGCTGATTGTTATAAATAATCAAACAATTCACCAAATCTCTATTCTAACATAACACTTCTTTACCTATTTGTTTACGCTCGCAACTCACGTGTAATGTAATCTGTGCCCAGACCTAAAGACCATAGATTAAAGTTTAAGGTCTCAGACCCAACAACAACTTTTTTTTACTTCGTTCAAACGTTAAAATAGTAAGTACTAATTATGGCGGGAAATTTAAAAGTATAGAATGAATTTGATCTGCCATAAAACTTTTATTTTTTTTAGTGTGAGTTGTAAAATGGATGTGATTACACGGTTTGAGCTCACAGTATTATCAAACTCTGATCTCCGCTAGTAGCAATTCTGCTTGTTTTGAACGTTTTGAATTGCGATTTTTATTTTCTTTCTTCAACCTTTCAACGCTTCAAAACGTCTATGCCATGTCACATGTCAATAACAATATCAATGTAATGTCAATAAAAAAACTTATCGAGCATGAAGGTTGACTTTTTTTTTACAACCCCTAACAAATCAAACGGAATGCGGGCGAAAATGTTTATCAAGAGTAAACACAAAACAGCGGAATATTTTTTTTGTTTTTGACTTAGCTTTTGCATGAGTTACAAAATACATATTATACCTATTTATTTATTCTCAAAAACATCATGTTGTGTAAATGCATTACATGAAATTAATGCAAGCAAATATGTTTATAAAATATTTCAAATTAATGGTAATTAGTTAAAATCAAAATTAAATAAACAATTTAAACATTTGCACTTTGTGTTGGAATAAAACACTACTGATTAATGGTCATAAAATATTATAATTTTACAGTAGAATCCTAATTTAACTTTTTAAAATCGATGAACTTATAAAAGTGTATGCGCGAGTCTTTTTTTAATAATTTTAATTTAAATAAGTACTAAAATAACATTCTCTCACTGGCTTTGGCCTTGTCTTACTACTATTCGTATCATTAAGTCCACCTCAGGATGTTAGCGCCATCTATACGTCATATGTGAACCTACAAACTGGGATTCGATTTTAACGACATCTATATGGAAATAAAGAAACTACTTAAGTAGGTATAATAATATAAAAACAATTTAAATACGTTTTAGTTTCTATTAACGCGTATGTTGTTTGGTTTCTAATCAAGTAAATTCACGTGCAAAGTTATTTATTGTATTCTGAGTCTACTACCGTCGAATATGCTAGCACCTGTTTAACAGATGAAACATGAGATGGCGCTTATTGCCATTTTATAAGATCGTTTAGATTTTTTGGGGTTCTGTAGCCAAATAGCAAAAAACGGAACCCTTATAGATTATGTTTGTCTGTCCGTCTTTCTGTCCAATGTCACAGCCACTTTTTTCCGAAACTATAAGAGCAATACTGTTGAATCATTGGTATTTAGATGTATTCTGTAAACTGCATTAAGATTTTCACACAAAAATAGAAAAAAAGCAATAAATTTTGGGGGTTCCCCATAACTACTTAGAACTGAAACTCAAAATATTTTTTTTTCATCAAACCCATACGTGTGGGGTATCGGTATAATTATTGTTTCGGTTATGGATACGGTTACGGATATAGGAATAATACGTTACGTATGTTACGGATATTTATGCTTTAGAATGCAATTTGCAATAGTGGTCCAAAACGGTTCATTCATGGCCGCACACTATATACATCGAATAAAAAGTAATTAAAAAATTAAAATTGATTCTAGATGGCGCTATAAAGCTAAATCAGGCTGTTATGCCTTTTCATATTAATGCCATTACATCCGAAACTATCCGAAACTTTTTAATCAGTTACGGTTAAGTACGGATATATTTTATTTCGGACATCCGAAAGTTTCGGTTACGGTTACGGATATCCATAACATCCCTGATATATTCGGGTATGGATAGGTCTTCAAAAATTGTCTAGTGTGTAAAAACATACTGTAGATAGCATTTTGCACAAAGAAAACATTATAGAAAGATAACTTTAGTATTTGTCCACCATTGACCAGCATTGGTAATATCACTAAGCACGGAGTCAATTATTTTAATAGTTATTATCTACTAGCTTTCCGCCCGCGGCTTCGCCCGCGTGGAATTTTGTCTGTCACAGAAAAACTTTATCGCGCGCGTCCCTGTTTCAAAAACCGGGATAAAAACTATCCTATGTTCTTTCCCGGGACTCAAACTATCTCTATGCCAATCCCTGTATGTGGTGCACTCATACCGATCCCAAGGAACCGTACTTACTCATAACAATAAGACACACACTGATGCATGTATTCATGCACTTGACAAACTTATGTTTTGAAACGCTGGTAGGGTAAAAAAATAACGAGATTTGACGATTTGTAAGAATTAATTTATTTTAAAAAGGTAAATAAAGATGTTTTTGGTTTTGTATTTAACAAATTTTCAGTTTTATCGGAATTAATTAATTTTCGAATCGAGTCGCACGATATCATTCGATGACTTTGCAAATGCAGTACGATGATACGATTACTTTTACGTTGCGGCAATCACTAAAATTCGCTAAAATGACACTAATGACGTTTAAAAAGTGGCACGCTCGGCTTCATACAATTTTTGACACATGCTGCATCTATCCATATCTGTGATGGTTACTCAATTTTTGTCAACGTCAAATTGATGATATAGTTCCAAAATACTGGACTGTCCTGTCGATGACATTGACAGTGGGGCGCCACCGTCAATACCGGATCGCTGGTTCAGATTTTTGCCATGTTGGAAACCATATAGTTGAACGATGGTAGCGCCCCCCTGTCATTGAGTTTGGCGGGACAGTTCAGCGTGGGTTATCTATACCTACGTGTTGTTTTCACATTTGCCCATTTGCTCGTTTGTCGATTTATAGACTGTTGATCTGATTTAAATGCAATTTATTGTATTACGTGTCCTTTGTAGACAGAGAAGTGTCTTGTGATTATATTTAGTGCTATAATATTGTGTGATCTTTCATAATTTAATTCAGTATTCTGAATAAAACTTTCCAAAATGTCTCGGGCAAGAAGCGAATTTCGGTTTATTCTGTACGCGGGCGGTATATTTGTTTGCTATTTTATTTTTGCAATGTTACAAGAGAAAATTACACGTGGAAAGTATGGTGATGGGGACAAGTTCACATGTACTCTATCTTTGGTGTTAGTTCAGTGTATTGTGAACTATGTATTCGCGCAAATACTAATGGTAATATTCAATTCTGTAATATGTATTTAATCTTAACTTCTTGAATTTATATCTCACAATCCATGTTTGATACTTGGGCCATAACTCATGTCTACTAAACACAGAAGTTTTGAAATATTTTATGATTACATTAAATGCTCTGAACCTGAATCCTATCCAGATTTTTATAAGAAATATCTATTGCAAAATTTGCTTTGGTAGGTAGGTACTACATACTACAATATTTGTTAAATTTTACAAGAGAAATTAATGTTTATAAATTGTTTCAGGTGTCGTGGAAACATGAAGTTGATACAACTAAGAAAGTGTACTACTTTTCATCAGCTCTGACCTACTTGTTGGGTATGATCAGCTCTAACATGGCCCTGCAATGGATAAATTACCCGACACAGGTAAACTAGTTTATTTTCAGTTCAGTGGGTGAAGCCAGTTGTAGGCAAAAGCTAGTGAACATATAAAACATGTCCTTGCTCTAGCTTTTGAACTTAACTGTACTTACACAGGGCAGTAGTAAAATAAATGATGTGATCATCATGTGCATGGATCTGTTATAATTATATTTACTTCTTCATTATATCCTTGCCATTGTTTTACAAATTTTACCCATAAAAAATCCTGATATCTGTTTGTGCTTGATGATTTAGGTAATAGATTTGATGAAACAATGGAGTTAGAAGTGTCTTAATTTTATTTAGCTTAGTAAATACGAGACTTCAAGTGAACTGTGTGTAGAACTGAAAGTTAAGTAATAGTCAAAACATCTTATATTTTCAGGTTGTAGGCAAAGCAGCTAAACCAATTCCAGTTATGGTTCTTGGAGTATTAATTGGTCACAAATCATATCCTCTCAAGAAATATTTATTTGTGCTCTTGATTGTTATCGGAGTAGTACTGTTCATGTACAAGGATCAAGTCAAGAAAGGCTCAGATGATTCGCAAGGTTTTGGTGTCGGTGAATTGCTATTGATTCTGTCTCTCACAATGGATGGTCTTACTGGTGCTGTCCAGGTAATAAATATTTTATGTTTTTTTACTTCAATCAAGAATAATACATAAAGTTTGCCTGAATTCTTATAATTCATATCATTTTATCTCCTTCAGGAAAGAATCAAAAGTGAATCTTCGCCTACAGCCTACTCCATGATGTTAAACACTAATTGGTGGTATGTAAAAATGAGAATCTGTATTACTTGTAAAAATATTTATAATATCTTGTGAAAAATAAATGGCATGGCGAATTCTTATACTTTATTTTGTATTCTAATGTGCAAAGCATTTTGCTAAAGCGATCTGTTAATCTTTTCATTTCATAATATAAGATTTTCTGGAGCGAACCAGGGTATTTTTCTTTTAATAAACAACTCATAGGGCTCAAGGACTAGATAGTAAAAGCTAAATTGAAACTGCCTGTAGTAATCCATAGGAAAAAACTACCGGATATTGTGCAGATTCAACCTACATTATTAGTCTGTATTCAAAATTATATTGCATTCTATATGTAATACGTATTTATTTTCAATTTTTCCAGGTCCACCATTATCCTGTCCATCTGTATCCCGCTGACTGGTGAAATATCCAGATTCACAACCTTTGTATCAACATATCCTGAGGTGCTACTGTACCTTGCTGGTTTGGCGTTTATGGGAGCTTTAGGACAGCTATTCATATTTTTCATGGTATGTTTTATTTTATACTCAACAAACATTAAACATAAATTAACATGGCCAAAATTCATCTTTTCATAAACAGCATAAGATGTTATTTTCATTCGGCATTTTTGTCAAACAGCAATTTTTACAGATTACTTTTTACCCAAAAAAGTCTTGTAGACTGGGATCGAACTTGTTTTTGTGGAATCTTAAATCGGCAGTCTGACACTGAAACCTATATCACCATAAATATGACAAGTCTTTCAATATAACTGAATACATTTAATCACTTTATTTAAACCTACATAATAACCTGTTGCATGTGAATACTGTGCCTCCTCCATGAACCAAATTTTTTAATATCACATTTTGTATTTACTCAATATTTATGGGATTTTTTTCGGATTCAATAGTATTGCGTATTTTTTAATCGTTTGTTGTGCGAGTAGATGGAATAGATTTAGTATATTTATTTATTTTATTTATATTATACTTGTATTTCATACGCCCTAAAAATATATTTCAATTTACCACAAGGTCGTGACTGGTGAGGTGCACAAGAGCTGTATTTTATTCTTAATATTTCCTTAAATATCATCAGCTGTAATAAGAATCCGAAACCATTATTTTAAATATGGTGGTGATTCTGATACTTAGCTCTTTTTACTAAGGACCCGGTCTGGTCAGTCTATTGTTCATATTAGTCAAATGACGTCCACTGCTGGACAAGGTCTTCCCCAAAGATTTCCATATAAAATTCAGTTAACCTATATTTAAAAACAATTATTTACAATAGTCAAACAATATCATGACTTATTATTGCGATTTATAATATAATTAATTTGTTTTGTATTATACATTTCAGGTGTCCGAGTTTGGCCCACTTCCATGCTCCGTTGTGACAACGACAAGAAAGTTCTTCACCGTTCTAGCATCTGTTATTATATTTGGTAATGTGCTCCTGGGGCGTCAATGGATTGGAGCTATCTTCGTGTTTTCAGGTATACATTTTCACTTTATTGGGTTGAAAATTTGTGTGGCCATAAAATGAAAAAAGTAGATCTGAATACACCACGGAATAACTAGGCTGTTGGGACATGAGTTTAAATAAGAAGTCAATAATGGATGACAGTTGTATAGTATACAGAGTGAGTCACGTTAAAGTGTAAATATGAAAATAGATGAAACTAGACCTATTTTTATCGACAAAAAAGAGGTCCAAAAATTTTTGAGATTTTTTTTTTAATATTTTCTTCCAATTACTTATTGTTAAGAAAACGTAATAACTTTTAAACTAAGCGGTATATCCTCATAAAATAAAAACAGTAATAATGCTAAATAAATAGGCAATACTAAAAAATACATAAAATACACAAAAAATGCCAACAAATAATAAAAAATGATACTTTTTGAAAAAAATGTGCTTAAAAATTCGTATTTTTTTGGTTATTTGATAAATTTCTCCAAAAAATGCCCCTATAACAGATGGTTTTTGTTACTTTTTATTATTCTCTATCGTATTAATTTTGTAAAACTAAAAACCGAATGTCTCTCTCTATCCCTATCACAACATTTGCTATGATCGTTTGAACAAAGGCCTGCCACCACATTTTTCTCCGCTACAGGTAGAGACAATTTCAATTTTAACTCAAATGCTTATTTTACTTCGAAATCTTTTGTTTTTATTTAAAATCTAACTTGTCTTTATCAAAATTACAAATCTAGAGTCACTTTCAGTTTCGTTGTTAACGAAGCGTTGAATGGCGCGCCCGGAGAGGCTTAGTTCAAACGATCATTGCAAACGTTGTGATTGGGATAGAGACATGCGATTTTTGGTTTTACAAAAGTGATACGATAGAGAATAATAAAAAGTAATAAAAACCACCTGTTATAGGGGCATTTTTTGGAGAAATTTATCAAATAACCAAAAAAATACGAATTTTTAAGCAGATTTTTTTCAAAAAGTATCATTTTTTATTATTTGTTGGCATTTTCTAGGTATTTCATGTATTTTTTTAGTATTGCCTGTTATTTAGCATTATTACTGTTTTTATTTTATCAGGATATACCGCTTAATTTAAAAGTTATTACGTTATCTTTACAATAAGTAATTGGAAGAAAAAAAATCCTATAAATTTTTTTAAAAAAATCTCAAAAAATTTTTGACCTCTTTTTTATCGATAATAATAGGTCTAGTTTCATATATTTTCATATGTACACTTTAACGTGACTCACACTGTATTTATTATCTGGACACCGCGGTGCAGCTTTTTCGCAAAACAGAACAATGCCATCTAACGGCAACTAACTTGAGAGTTTACATGCAAGGTTTCGTTTCGTTGGTTTGTCAATTTTGTTGAATCAAAGGAAGGATTAAGACTAGCTTTTAATTTTTTTGATGCAATCTCAAGAAAAATTACCTACATCAGGAGCCAAGGGTAGTCGTAGTTTCGTAGTCTCTTCATTGGTCGTCTTTTTTTTTTTGCTGAGAATTTGAAAGTGACATTTACGTTCATCTTGGGTGGCCTACGGCACTCGAGAGTCAAAACTTCTGGAAGCAAACTACCAATTTCTTTTTTTTAAGAATATAAAAACTGCACTTAAGGATCTGATTGTAATTAATAACATAAACAGCATATGATGATTCCTAAGTAACTGCGAACACTTGTATAATGCTCTCCAAATCTTCAAAGGTCCTTGCTGTAGGCCTCTTGAACCTATTCCGAAAGTTTTCCAATGGCAAGCAATCATATTGATCTAACTTGAGAGCCAGTTTAGTGGTGTTGTCATAGAAATATCTGTAGCGGGCCCACAAGCGATGTGGATGTGACACCGCGTTGCACAATACGGCGAAATTATTGCGGTGCGGCATCGTACGTAACTGATCGTGTGCTTTAGCTCTCACGCTCAAGGTTTTTCTTTCACTTTTTGAGTGAGAGAGTAAGCATAAAATTACCTTTTCAACATGGACATTTGGGTTTTCTAAAAAAGTCGCTACGTTCCATCGATTTAATCGAGTTGCATGCTGTTGATGTTTATATTTGTTTACTAAAAGTGTTTTTATGCAAGTATGAAGATTGTTTAATTTGTTGGTTTGTTGTATAATGTGTGGAATTAATATTCTGCAAGCACTTTTAAAATACCAAACCAAAGTAACCGACATAGCTCGCAGAATTGCTAAAATCAAGTGGCAGTGGGCGGGGCACATAGCTCGTAGAGACGATGGCCGTTGGGGCAGGAAAGTTCTCGAGTGGCGACCACGGGCTGGAAGACGTAGCGTGGGCAGGCCTCCTACTAGGTGGACCGACGATCCATCCATAAAGGTCGCGGGAAGAGCCTGGATGCGTTCAGCGCAGGACCGTTCATTGTGGAAAACCTTGGGGGAGGCCTTTGTCCAGCAGTGGACGTCATTTGGCTGAAACGACTTTTAAAATATTTTCATCGCTTTTTGTCAGTAAACCAATGACCAGGGTGAGGAGTACATTCAATTCGGTTTCCAATTTTTCAATAAGTGGGTGGATCAGTTTTGATATGTAACTAGCGATGGCTTGTTCAGGTGTCTTTGGGGTTTGATTTGTGGAAGAAAGTTCTTTATAAACGCTAACAATCAAGATTTCGTAGTGATCTTCAATACAAGCGGGTGTCTGTTTTGTTCATAGTTATTTGCAAAGCAAAATCGCAACAAACAAATCATAAAAAACACGGTCTAAAATTTTTACGTTTACTGATTTATATAAAATCTTAGACCGTATTTTTCATTAATTAATATTTATGCCAACTGTTCGCCTTCGAGCAGTTTGCCTCTCTTATCTGTGTTGAAGATTTTCAAGCCGTCTTTCATTAGGAAAAAGTAAAGCAAATGCTAAAGGCTCAATATTGGGACTGGTTGATTTTAGTGTAGTAAGATGTTGAGAATATTCTTGTACAGAAGTCTATAATTTAATGGAGGTCCGCCGTTTTTTCCTACAAACATGACCGCTACCTCATTATTTGATGGGAGTGTTATACCGACGCAAATCAAGAGATTTCATGTTTATAAAACTGCATTGATACCGAATGTTTGGGTCGAGGCTGCTTTCATTTCCTCTTCAGCTAAAATTGCAGCCGTCCGTAATCCAATTGGCTAAAGGATTGGATACATTGAGCAGTTTGTAAGGACATCATTATATTGGTAATTGAATGGTGTTATTTGAAAGCGCTAACTAAATCTGCTTGAATATTTACGCTTCTTCTGTGGTTTGCCAATCATTTAATGTAATAGGTACTAACTTGAAGGCAATACTAACTTGGCGACATGTTGGTTCCTGGCAATTACCACCTGCCTGTCTGACTTTACCAAAGAAATCAAGGCAATCTTGAGTTAGATGTCTGGTAAATATAAATTTAATTTCTTCTGATTTGAAGTCTTCGTGAAGTTGTAAATTGTAATAGAGGTTTTATAGAAACTTGAAATCCGTGAATAAAATTCATAATATTCGTTAGGTACATCGTTCTGCGTATCAATTTTTATTAATTTCAAGATTTTGAAAAATGACAACATTTCTTCTAAAAACTCGGTTTGATATTTCTTGCCATAAAAAGCACTTTTTAAATACTAAAACAAAAATATTACTACGTATTATGTGAGAAACTCGAAAACAAAAACAAAACACGCACGACGCAGACGACACTCGAGTGTCGTGTCACGCCTGCACGCCCTGAGATTGACCACTGGCTGATCTAGTTTGAAGCGGTTTCGGCTCATACGTGACAAGCGGCCAGTGGACACGCACACACACGCGTTGCACTTGTAGTGATGTACCTAACCTATCACAGCTCATTCGTATGTAGCTTTGTCTCTGTTCCGTTTCTTTACTCATGTGCCATAATCTAAGGTGGAATCCTTGCTTTTGTGTATTGTAACAACTTCGGCTGGAACTAATGGGAATGGATGGACTGCGACGAACATGCAGTTTAGAAGATTTATACCTTTTTATAGTAGTTTTAGTATAATGTGTAACTGTAATAACTGGATCAATTGGAGTCCAATTATTTCTTAGTTTCACTCTGTGGCGAGTGAGAGAAGACGACCTCTAGTATTATTTTCGACTTCTTATGTTAATATTGTTAAAACTAAACCATATTATGCGCAACGGTCAATAACATTGACCGCAAAATACCGGGTTTTAATTGAACACCTACTTTTTCTAACGTGGAACCCTGGCTTTTGTGTAAGGTACCAGGTTCGGCTGGAACTAATGGGAGTGGTTGTAAACTGTTACTAAACCATTCATTAAGTACACCCCAATCCATCGCGCTAATTTCTGGCCACTTTCGTTGATTATAAGCCCAGTTTTTGAAAACATTCGTTCACTAGGAACGGATGTTGCCACGGTGTTACAGCGAGTTATATATTATAACTCTTTCAAATTGGGGTAAAAATATTAGTGGTTTCGCCACCATTCCAGAGGGCATGGTAATTTACCGCTCTGGTCTTTTGTTGGCAACAATTCGTCAGATAGATACATGTCTACCTTTTTTATTGCTTTCGAAAGAGGTGTGCTGTGCCGTAAGAAGTGCTCGTTTTGTCAAACATGGCCCATGGGCTGAGATTGTCCTCGACGTTGTAATTGGAGTTGTTCTCAATTGAATTCCCGTTAGAGATAATACGTTCTTTCTCGGATATTAAAACAGCTACTAACTTTCTCACCCTCTCTTTGGTTTTCATTGCTTCAGATTGGCTTGAAAATCCTTGCATCTTAAAACGAGGATCCATGAAGCAGAGTGCAGACTGCTTGTATTAAACGTTTAGTTTCCTGACCTTGTTAGGAACATAAGAAACTGAGAGCATCTAACGTATCATCATTCATTGAACATCTCAAATTATTACAAAAGAACCTATTAGCTGAAAAAACACGTTCAGAGCGACACTCGTTGGTGGAATGGAGAAGTTTTCAATTTTTTTCTATTAATAAAACTTTCTTCATTAGTTGCTTCCACACACAATGGGCACTCTCTGCTGGTTCAGATTATTTTCCTCGACATAATCTGCACACTGGATTGGTCTGTGTATATTTCGCCTAATTATTTCACAAAACTCCATAGGCTGTTCTCGAAAGTCTTTTGAAAACAGTTTATTA